AGTGAAATAAATAGGACACACATGTATAAATACCAAATAGTTTCTCTGGTGTGAGAAACTGAAAGTGTAAATAAGGACTAAAATGTATACTAGGTTATGTGAAATAGGAAGAAAAGGTCCAAAGGGGTAGGGGTATTGGGAGGGTCAGTGGAAAGGAAAGAAGGGAAAGGAAAAATCATGCGAAATGGAAAAAATGGAAATAAAGTCTTTGTAAATAGGGAAGGGTGGAGGGGGCGAAGGGAGGGCTAGGAATGGGGAAAAAATAAGAACCAAGATCCATTATGTAAAGGTACAATTTCCAATGAGAAATGTAATTGTGTTGTATACCTAAAATGTACCAATGAAAGAATTTAACAAAAAAATTTGTACAGTACTACTAATTTCTTTTTTATTTGATTTTATTGGTACACTTTTGATACACTTAATGATCACATTCATTTTAGGGAATTTGTACCTGTGCATGATGTATCTTTATTCTTCTTTTTTCCCATTTGTTCCCCTCCTTTCAACCCCTCTTACCCTCATATGCAAACATTTGTTTCCATTTATCCTTCTTTTCTCTTTTTTTCTTTTCCCTTCCTTCCTTTCCCCCCTCACCCCTTGCTAGTTCCCCTTCCTATCTGAACATTTTCTTCCTATTTCATAATATCTATTATACATTTTGGTCTTTCTTTACACTTTCACTTTAGCACCCTAAAGAAACCATGCAATGTTTACACATATCTAATTTATTTCACCTAAGCATATGGTCTCAAGGTGTATCCATTTCCATACAAATGTCTCAAGTTTATCCTTCTTTATGACTCATTCATACTCCATTGTATTAAAAAACCACATGTTCTTTATCAGATGAATATCTGTTGATGGACCTTTCAGCTGTTTCCAAGGTTTAGCTATTACAAACTTTGCTGATATAAACATAGGTGTGCATATATTGGTGTGGTATGATGCTTTGATTTCTTTGAAGAAGAAACTAAGAAGGGGAAGAGCTGGGTCAAATGGAACCTCTAGTTTTAGTTTTTTGAGGAATGTCCACACTGATTTCCACAGTGGTTGCACCAGTTTATACTCTCTCAAACAGGGTAGAAGGGTTCTTTTTCCCTCACAGCTCCACCACAGTTTTTTATTGGTTGATTTCATGATATTAGCCATTCTTTCTGCAGTGAGATAAAATCTCTGTGTTTGTTTTAATTTTCATCTCTCAAATGACCATTGATGTTGGACAGTTTTTTATATATTTATTTGCTGTTTGTACTTCTTCATCTGAGAAATGTGTATTCATTTTAGATGCCCAGTTTTGGATTGAATCTTTAAATTTGGGGGGTATGATTTTATTGAGTTCTTTATATACAATAGTCCTTTGTCTGAGGAACAGCTGGTAAATTTTTTTTTCTATTCTGTTGTTTGTCTCTTCACTGTGTTGGTGACTTCTTTTGCTGTCCAAAGGCTTTTTAATAAGATGAGATCCCAGTTGTTGATTCTTTGTAATGTTTTTCATGCTGTTGGGGTTTTGTTTATAAAGTCTTTACTCACACCTATGTCTTCAAGAGTTCTACCTATCTCTCAGCAGATTTAGTGTTTCTGTTTTAATATTTAGATATTTAGTCCATTTTGATTTTAGGTTTGTGCATGGTGAGACACAGGTCTAGTTTTAGTCTTTGGCCATATGGAAAGCCAGTTTTTCCAGTACCATTTATTAAAGAGGCTATCTTTCTTCCAGTGAAGGTGTTCGGCCCCTTTGTGGAAGATAAGGTAGCTGAGTGTGTTTGGAGTTGTTTCTGCATCTTCTAATCTGTTCCATTAATTCACAGGTCTGTTTTTTTGTTTGTTTTGTTGTGTTTTGTTTGCCAGTGCCATGCTGTTTTAATCACAGTAGCTTTGTAGTATAATTTCACATCAGGAATTACGGGGTCCCTTCCCTTTGTTCCCCAGAGTTGTTTTTGCTATTCTAGGTCTTTTCTGGGTCCAAATGAATTTTAGGAATGTTTTCTCTAATTCTATGAGGTATGCTATTGGTATTGTGATTGGGATTACATTAAAACTGTATAACAATTTTGGGAATCTGACCATTTTTACTATGTTCCTACCCAAGACCAAGGAATAGCTTTCCATTTCCTGATATCCTCTTCAATCTCCATTTTAGAGTACTCCGAATTTCTTAGCCTTCAGATATAACCACACCCATAAAAGAATGTCCTACTATACAAAAATATTTTTCTTTCTTCAAAAATTTTTGGTAATTGACAAGGCGTAGTTTTGTAATTGAAAGTCTTATACATTGCTGCTGGAGGCATAAACTTGTACAACTTCTTCAAAACTGGTAAAAATTTTGTAGTATCATACAGTCATACCTCTACCTTAGAGTCCACTCCTAGGAACTTGCCAAAATAATGCAAATATACACAGAGAGTGTTATATCATAATTGTTACTTGCACATATTACATGATAGCACAATGGTAGAAACAATTATTTATCAGAACTAAGGTGGCTAAACAAATTGCATTATTTTCACAAAATGAAATACTATTCAGCAGTGAAAAAGGAAGCACTGATAATTACAACAGCATAGCTGAACATTTAAAATGTTGGATAAGAGAAAAACATAAAATAATATATGCAGCTTGATTCCATTGTATATGAGGTATAAACAGGGACAAAAATAATCTATTGATAGAAATCAGATGATGTTTGCCAAGGTAGAGTGTTGGCTAGAAAGAATCGTGAAGTTGTTCCTCAAGAAATATAAATGTTCAATATTTTAATTTGAGATGGAAGCTCCTTAAAGGTGTACAATTTTTATAGCTCATTAAGATGAATACTTAAAATTTGTGCATTTATTTTATTTATTGTATCTTACATTCATAATTTACATTTATATACAAAATTTTTAGAGAAAGATTAATACAGTGTTTTGTAAAAGTAAGACATGTTCTGTCATCTTTATATTCTGTTTTTGCTATTTGCTCTAAGTGATGCATGTCTGCTTGTCTGATGTTTGGATAGCTCTCATTCATCCTGCTGGAATGGAATTACTTCTGTGGAGTCTTTTCTGAACACAAGTCCTCATCATCATCTCCTTCTTTGGGAGCCCTGTAACCCCTCTGTTAACACAAATGTCATCGTACTTGAAATTATCCACACTGGTGTCAATTAGAAGTGACTAGTATACTAGACTGTTATTGGATACAAGTTTTACTCTGTTAGATACTGTAAGTCCCAAAACTATCACAGAATACACATTCAGAAATTATATAAAATTCAAAGAACAAACTAAATTCTTTGGTAGTATTTTAACTTAAATTTTTAATTTAAATTTTAACAAGTACTCATAAGTATTTGTAGTTCTTCTGACAGCACATTGAGAAACTGCCTCAAAATGAGTATCTCTGAAGAAATTCATTTTGTACTTTTGAGCCAGGGATGCTTTATACCTTACAGTTTTCTTAGCAAATTCATCTTTGACAACCTATCATCATAACCTTAATCTCACAATGATAGTGATAGGCTGGGAAAATACGTAATGTGTCTTTCAAAATAAATATATATATCTATATAAAGCACTATTAGAATTATAATATGTCAATAGCTATACATAGACAATTTTTTTGTTGTTTTTGTTTTTTTTTTTTTTGGTACTGGGGATCGAACTCCGAACCTTGTGTTTGTGAAGCAGGAAGCAGAACCACTCAGCTAAATCCCTGGCCTGAAAAAATTTTATTCTAATTATGAAGAAGTAGAGCACAGAATTGCCAGGCAAGAATGAACTCAGAAAGGATAATACATTTGTCTTTTCTGTTTTTCAGATTTATCTTATGCATGGACCTTCAATGATAACCCTCTTTATGTCCAAGAAGACAACAGGCGGTTTGTATCTCAAGAGACAGGAAACTTGTACATCGCCAAAGTAGAACCATCAGATGTAGGCAACTACACTTGCTTTGTAACAAACAAGGAGGCCCAAAGAAGTGTTCAAGGTCCACCCACTCCTTTAGTGCAGCGCACTGATGGTAAGAAAATGAGTTATCTTGGGAATATATGTTGTGGCTCTTAGAGCGTGGGGAGATGTGCAGAGCTTTCTGCTTTCCTCCTGTTCAGTGGAGCCAAATCACCTATGAGTTTAAGGTTCAATCCACAACTATTGTGAAAATCAGGTATTACCAAAGGTAAAATAAAAAATTCTGCAGTCCATCCACATGTTACAGTATACATGGTTCTGGATATACTGAGCCATATCTTTTCTGGCTTTGGAACAGCTTGTCTCTTCTTTGCTTAAGGGCTAGTTTGTAAATTCTGATGTTTGTTTGGGGGATCTGGCATGTGTGTATGTGTGCATGTGTGGATGCTGCCAATTTTATATACTTGTATCAGTATATTTTTAATGAACATTGTTGCAATCTGTCTTTAGGCACTCTTTTCATTTCCATGTTTGCCTTTTTGTTTCCTGTTTGTTTACCTACTGGCAAAAGGGGGAAAAATGGTAATATCCAAGGAAAACAAAGCAAACTAACATTAATTACAAGCATTGTAAAGAAGGATGAAACATAAGATCAATACTAATTTAACTCCTCCAAGAAACATAACTCAGATTGGCCTCTGATGAAGTTTGTAGCTTAGTCAAGTCATAGTTGGTATAAGATTTAAAGAACTAGAAAGTCATTCGAAGTGGAAAAATCCTAAGTTGATTCTTTCATTAAATGTTCACAGTGGGACAAGTAAAGATAGAAAAATATTTTAGTGCATTTTATGACTAGATATTGGACTTTAAATGCAATATCTCCTACAGTTTTTCTCTCCCCCCACAAAGAGTATAAGCCAAGCAAGAATATGATGTTAATAAAGGCTTACAGAGCTATGGGATCAGCTCCACAGAGGAAATTCTTACATAGGAGCTTACATTATCACTAACCACTGAATGTATTGGAAAGCTCTTATTTAAGAATTCCACAACCATGAGGTTCATTCTTAAGTCCATTTTCTCTTTTTCACTCAGTGTAAATGACTGGAGGAACTCATAAGCTAACAACTTGCATAGAGATTCTACCATATTTTTCCATTTTTTCTCTCAACACTTAGTTTCTTCTCATTGCCTTCTTGCTTCTTTTTTATTCCATTCCTTCTATTCCCTTCATCATTTTCATGGTAAAAAACAAAACAAAACAAAACAACCAGTATCATTTTCCATAATGTAAGTAAACTAAATCTCTTCTACAAGTTAGAATGGAAGAAATATCCAATGTCAAGGAAAAAAAAACCCCAGTGTTGTGAAGTGAAGTAGTTCCTTTTACTTTCTCAAACGTAAACTTTGTAATTCAATTCTTAGAAATTAAGTGTTTTTATTTTGCACTTATGTCATAATTTTCATATTTTGTGCAGTTGTATCAGCTGCCAAAAATCCATTTAAGATTGTATCACTTTAATGTTTAGTATATAAGTAAAAATCATCAAATTCTTAAAGAATCTAAACTTGTCTGATGATATTAATTAAGATAAAGAGGATGGCCTAGAGATATGTTTCTGTTTGCTATAACATCTCTTGTAGATAGTGTAATTAATAATTACAATACATTAGACACTGTCTTAGTCTAAATTTAGCCTATATCCACAATTCTTCATTGGAAATTTTAAAACTGTAGAAACATAATTTTTTGTACATGTACAGCACACTAAGCAGAAAAACTTTACTGTCCTGGCAAGCAAATATGTATCTTTTCATATCATTTTGTGGAATGACTTCACATGTTTTGGTGCAGAGATACTGATATTCTGGACTGTGCTGCATATTGGACTTCCTCCAGTTTTAACTGAAAACTTCCTCATTCCTGATTAGATCTGACCCCATGAAGTTGGTGAAAGGTTCATGGGCCCAGAAATCACTAGAGAAGGATCTTTTTTGAAAACTCAAAAGCATGTTCCCAGTTCTTAATTGGAAACACAACTTTTTATTAAGATCAAATAATCAAGTTTTTGTTAATGAAGCATTTACTTCATAGAAAACGTCTATTCTCCAGAAATGCTGCTAGTTCTTTTGATATTTAACAGGTGTGATGGGGGAATATGAACCAAAGATTGAAGTGCGTTTTCCTGAAACTATACAAGCTGCAAAGGATTCATCTGTAAAACTGGAATGCTTTGCCCTTGGCAAGTAAGGTGTTGTTTTTTTTTTTTTTTAAATGGTTGCCTGAAAAATTTTTAAAAACCTTTTTATTATTCAAACATTGCTCTAAGGTAAATTACCAAATAGATTTCAAATGCTGGGCAGTAGTGGAACTTTCTGATTGGAATTTAAATATACATGTTTAATACTCTGAAAATGATCAGAACTGTAATTCTCCTCTAAATGTGCTGACAGTTCCTTTAGTTTGAGTATAATGAGACCCATTAAAGCCAGCACATTGCAAAAGTGTATGTGTAGTTGTATAAGATGGTGGACAAGTCATTAAACCTTGGGCATATTCTTCACTCCTTGTTACTCTACATCCAGAAGTACACTGCCTGGAGTGACTACTTGCTTAATTAATCAGCTGTTCTTATAAACAAAAAACCTGCACTGCTCATTTCCAAAGTAAGACTAATTAAAGTCCGTTGTTCAGAGGGGATAATTAGAATTGAGTCCAACCTGTCCTGCTAGTGCCCTGGGTAGTTTGCTCTACACAGTCAAGTGTTTACCAGGAAGAGGTTTGGAATAATTTAAGCCAGCAGAATATCTGCTTTTTTTTTCTTTTTCTTTTTCTTTTTGTTGCATGAAATACCCAGAACATCTCTTTACTTTTTCTGCTATTCAGAGTTTAGTTTTATTACTAAATACCAGTAAGCTGTAGAAAAAGGACAGAATTACTACATCTTCTATTTTCTAAGGTCAATGTGTCTATTCTGTGGAGTGAGATTAAATTCAGATTCTCATACTGTAAGACTAGAGCCAGGTCTGATGTCTCCATTTAATAACCTTACTGGTCTTAGTCATGCCTGTCTACAGAACACACTGTGAATTGTAAGAGTCAACTCTCATCATGATCTTCAAGTCTTACCTTTAAAACTAGGGTCCATTTCTAATGTGACATCATATTTAGAAATAGAATTATTTTCCAAAGTGCAAAACATCCTTGAAAGTATCATTCTTGACGGGAATTTAGCAAGCACAAGGACCCGAGTTCAATCCCAGGTACCAAAAAAAAAAAAGTATCATTCTTTTTATTAACTAAATGTACTCAGCAATCCAAAAAACTGCTGCCTACTGAATCTTTTCATTTCAGTTCCATAAAAAATTATGTATATCTTTAAAGTAAATTTCTTATACTATTCATTTTTCATTAATTGAAATGATATTTTATTTTCATATAGTACTAGCCTCATAGCAATTGTCCAATAAATAATTACTGATTAATGAAAATATTCTTAAGGTGACACTTGAATCAGTTTCTCTTAGTTTAGCTTTTAAGACATAATAAATTTACACTATTTTAAGCTTTTTCAGCAGTTGAGGTACACAAAAAAAATACTTGTCAGAAAAATGCTTTGAGATGATTAGGTGGTTATTTTTAAAAGAAAATCTACGAAAAATAGCAGCTGAAAAGAACATTAATACTTATTTTGTCATATTTGGCATCAGGAAATATGGATTCCTTCAACAAAGAATATTCTTTTACAAAACTTAGAAAATTATTGAGGCAAGTGCTCAAGAATCTAATGGAAATACTTTCTTAAGCACAAATCACTAATAACTTGTGTTTTGATATTATATATAAAGTAAAACCTTGGTTTGTGAGAATAATTCCTTATGCTATTAATCCAAAGTACTTGTACATCAAAGCAGGGAGAGAGAAGAACCAGTTGCGATCAATCATTGTGACTACTACAGTACTCCTATTGGAAGATATTGCTTGTTTATCGAGTTAAAATTTCATAGAAATTTTCCCTTTCCCCTTTCCCTCTCACTTTCCCTACCCCTTTTGACCTTTTCTTCCTATATCATCAATTATTCATTTTAATCATTTTAATCCTTATTTACACTTTCAGTTTCTCACACTAGAGAAAAGGAAAAAATGGAAACAAAGTCTTTGTGCATAGGGAAGGGTGGAGGGGGAGAAGAGAGCACAGGGAAAGGGAAAAAAATAACCAAGATACATCATGTGCAGGTACAAGCACCCAATGACAAATGTAAACATATTGTATACCTAAAATGTACCAATAAAAGAATTTAAGCAAAAAAAAAATTTCATAGAAATATATGCTTGTCTTGCAGAACACTCACAGATCAAGTTACTCGCAATCCAAGGTTTGACTATTTTATAATCTCGCAAGACACATCATTTTTTCATTTTATATGGGAGACTGAAGCATAGTTTAGATAAGGAACCAATTTCATTTAGTGCTTCTATTGTGAATTTAGGAATTTTTGGGTAAATGGTGAGATAACTGCTTTAGAAATCATTGAGAGCAGTTTCCATTCCCACTTTTCTTAAGAGTAATGTGATCATTAGGAAACATGCTTATAATCTCTATGAATTTCCATGTTTACATCTAAAAGGAGTTAAAAACATATCTTATATGTCTGTTGTGAAAATTAGAATGAATAATACATATGAAAACACTTAGCACTGATACTGTCATATAGTCTATAAATGTTCATTGACTCTTCTGAATCTAAATGCAGCTTCCATTCTAACTTCCATGTCCAATGTTTCAGGTAGTGGAGATGTTCCCACTAGAATATGTGTTTCAGAGAGACATAAATTCTCTTCTCACCATCACACTAATCTCTCTGCCTCAGCATTGATGACATGTAGGAAAGAAAGCAGCAATCAAGTTAAGATCTGGAGTGAAAAAGGAACAGAAGGGAGTCAACTTGATCAGTGTACTCTTTGAATTGCTCACGTATAAGTTTCCTTAATTTTATATATGTTTGAAGTATTCAAACCTATTCAAAATTAAACTGTATAAAATAAAATTTGTACTCTTTAAAACATGAGAATACCTAAAATGTTTCATAAAATTAAACTAAAAATATTTGACACAGGAATATTTGAGTTGGAAAAATAATAGTTTAAATACTTTTCAAAATATAAAATATACAATACATGTAGAAAAAATATGTTCATTATTAAATTTTTGTGGAAATCAACTGTTGCAAATGAAATAATATGCAGTTAAGAGTGGAAAAATGAATTATGCTTCATAGAAAATTAAGAACAAGATATATTTAACAAAGAACACTTCATAAGATATTATGTAATAAAATTAATCAATATTAATATTCTGTTTATTAAATTAAAACCATCAGTACTGAATTGAAATTCTATGGAGTTAAAACAGAAAGTACCAAGTCCTGTGGTGGTAATGTGAAAATGCCCTGTATAAGAAATTTATGTATTGTATCATTGAAGTGTTGCAGTTCCTGAAATATTGATTTTTTTCATTAAATATTATTGATATGTACCACATTTATTTACATTAAGAAATATTTTCCATCCCTGAGAATATTCTTTCTCTTGATGTTGTATATTATTTTGGAATTTGCTTATTCTTCTCTGTGTTTTCTGAGCTTAGTGTATCTATACTTTGGTGTCTGGAATTAATTTCATAAAAATGTTAGGCATTACAGCAAATATTGCATTTATTCAACTTTGTTTTTCTTTTACTAATGGTGTTCCCTTTACATATCTTTTACATCATTTGCAATTACCCACAGTGTTTATATATTCTGATCATTCTTTATAATACTTTTTCTTATTTGTATTTCTGTTTGAAAAATTCTATTAAGACTACTTTTCAATTATTTATTCTTTCCTTGGCCATGTTCATTCTACTGCTGAATGCACCTGAGGCATTCTTCATTTATATTCCAGTGTATTTTATTTCTAAGATTTCCTTTTGATCTTTTCTTAGGGCTCCTATCTTTGTCCATCAGTTTTTTCATTTTGTTTCCTGTTTTCATTACAGCTTTCAGATATTAATCATAGTGATTTTAAGTTATAATGCCTGCAAATTTAACTTAATTTTAAATTCTCCGTTACTATTTCAAAATTTTTATTATATTTGCATCTAGTTCTGCCCATTGATTTGTCACTTCAGACTGTAGCTTTAGCATCCCTTGCTGGCTTGGTAGATACCTGGACTTGATGTATTGAATATAAGGAACTGAGGTAAGAGTATTTTTAGGGAGAAGTTTAATGTTCATTTGGCTAGGAGTTAGGCTGTGCTTGCTATGTGGTGTAGTTCTTTCATCAAGGACTAAACTGTCTCATCTATTTGTTTTTATCATCTACAGGTAGCTTCTTTGGGTTTCCCTACAGGAAGCTTCTTAAGTAGACTGTGAGGTTTGCAGTTGTTTCAACTCTAACTCCTTGCTATTGTGCAAGATCTCTATGGATTATGTGACAGTCAGTTCTTGTTTGCTAAGTCTGTCAGCTTTGTCATTTGTGAGTCTGTTTCTATTGACTACTCTTTCTTTAAGTCACAATCTTTTTTTGAGCTTGTTTGGATTTCTAGCAATTTTAGCTAACATAATAATTATCATAAGTCTTATGCTATTGAATGCTGGGTTATAATGTATTTACATAAAGATTGGACTTTATGCTAATAGTTAAATTACTATAAATCTGCTTTTTCTATGAATCTGATTTTTCTGTAGCTTATCATTAAGCTTCCTAAGAGTAGTAACAAAGTAAACTTTAAGACTAATTTACTAGAATCTCCCTAATGAATTATCAAAATGCTCATTAATTCTGTTCTTTTTTTTATAGTAGAACTGTAATATCTTCAAACCCTATATGAGCTCTGAAAATTGTTCTTTGCCTAGTCTTGTGTGACACCACTTCTGTGCAGATCTCTAGATCAGATTCATTTTGTAGTGACAGTTTTCTTGCACTCTGCTCTTTAGTTCTAGTCATTTTATTCTCCCCAAATTCTGACCTTTGTCTTCTCCACTCATGAAACAGTCCTGCACTACCTGTGTCTCCCCTCACTTCCTCATCTGGAAAGCTCTTCTACATAGAAAACAAAGGCTACAAAGCTTAATTCATTTATTTCCCCTCTTCTGGGGATCCGATTTTATACTCTCAGTTGCTAAATTACTAGAAAATAATTATTTTCCCGTATGTATATGTTCTAGTGTGTGCTGTTTCCAGCAGGAGCTTAAGTACAGTC